CGCCTCCCCTTGTCCTAGCACCAGCACTATACTTCATTTGTTTCAAAACACTATCGATTTTCAAATAGTCATTGCTGAATTTTGCTTGGCTCGCATTAAAAATAGCGAGGATGTGGCAAGCTGGAGCTAATATGAATGCTTTCTTTGATCAGTGGCTAACTTCTTGGTCAAAGTTTACGATTAACAAATACCACTCTAAGCACATAATTTTCAGCTGAACGTCTCAATGTCTTTGTTGCAGTGCATCGGCCAGCTGATATATGAGGAGTGGTATGATGTTGCAATGCCGGAATTGATCGAAACCTGTTCAGCCGAAATTGAAAATGTTGATTTAGTGAAGGTCAGGAAATCGATGAAACTGTGCTATTTGCAACCATGACAACCTTTGAGTTTAATTACAAGCTATATTGATGAGCAGTGGACTGAGAGGAGAAAAACATTTCTAATATGGTCTATGGGATACCTATAAATCCGTTTTGCAGAACACGCTGAGCTTAGCCCTGGGTATAATCGGATCAGTCCAAAAGAAACGGCGTGAATTCTGGAAAGACAATATTCGGATATGCTTGGATTCAGTGGAGCAACTGGGTCACTTCATTACTGCATCGGTCAGTTTGGCACATTTTCGATATTCATTTCTAAAAGGAGAAGTTAGAACAAGCCTTATTATTGCTTACTTTGTATTACTGCTAAATGAGCCGATTGGTCACTTAAACTAATTACGAAGCGCTCCTTTCACTAAATCCTCTTTTCCTTCTTTCTTCTCTAATAAACATTCTCTTTTACCGGTTTCGCCAATATTCAAATGGGCTTATTCTTCAAATGGCGGGTGTGAGGCTGTACTGCTGATTCATACTCCTACTCGTACCTTGACTGTATTTACAGCTAAGGGATGAAACACAGACTGCTTACTCATATGCTCCTTCAGTACATGTCACAACTTCGTCCTTGCTAACCTCTCTTCCTCTCAAGAAAATGTGTAGTGCACCGTACAATCGAAGCCAGTAATGGGGTCCAAAGGTTCAAATTCAAAGGGAACTGAATTGCGAGGACTGCAAGATGTGGCGAAATGGCTGGTACAGGCAGTCGGGCATTACCCAAAAAGCGTTTTTCCAGGGTCTTTAGTAAGATTGCTAATTCTCTTTGGTTTCAAATTTCTCTTGGCCAGATGAAGCAGGCACACGGGAAGGGCAAAGAATGACCAGCGAAATGGGTGGAAGGGTAGCTGTTGATGAAGGGATTTGGAAGGACAGAAAAACTGACCGCTCAAGAAGCTTGTTTTTATGCCAGAAAAATCAAAAGATATGGTTCCTTCGTATTCACTCGTTATAAAAAGTTTATAAAAAGTGAAGATTCTCGAAAGAAGTCCGAGTTTTAATAAGTGGCAATTGCAATCACTAGCTGGTAAGGCTCTCGATAAATTTGTTCTCTAAGAGTTGCTTAGAGGGCAAATGAGTGGCATTTTGACATCATTCAGAATTATTCCAGGTGAAATTAGACGGCGATATGGACAAATGTGTGCGAAATCTGCAAATAATCCAGGACAAGTTACAAATCGCTAATTCGGAACTTATCCACTCATCATATTTGGATTTATTAATGCACTCAAGTGCACCAGATATTGATGACACTGACAGTGCAGCGGCCAAACGAACTGCATCTTCTTCCGAGAGCAACAGCGACCAGCAGAGCCTTTCATGGGCCAATATCCTTTCATAGTTTTGGCCAAGTTTTAATAGTGTATGTTGTCCTGTATATAATTTCGTGTTTCGAATGAGTATTGGTGCCTCTCGTTGTACAAATTTTTTGTTTAATATATTTTTTATGACATTGGAATTTTCGCATTTTTGACCTGTTGGCTCTTATTGTGTCTTTCAGGATTAAAATTTTTAAGGCATTAGCTAATTTTCCTGGGCTCTTGAGTTGATTGCTCGATGGGATTCTAGACTAGAATCAAGAGCCGTAATGAGTTTAACAACAATCCACAATTTCCAGTGGCAGTGATGACCAAGGATTAATCTGGACTACTACAGATTTAATCTACTGCTTCATTTTAAACCTAAGAAAATCTATGCCTATTTTTTCAAACCTGTTTTCTATCAAAGAGCTGAGACAGAGTGTTGAGGAAAATCGAACTTCCCACCGTTCCCGCCTCCAGTTCTTTTTATTGCAGCCTTCTGGTTGCTTACATACATGTAGGAAATCATCATAAATCTATAAAAACTGTGGAGCAAAATCTGCCTTCACGTACTGCCAGTCTAGGATCTTTTGCGTTATCTCACAGTCTGAAAAAATCCACTTCAAATTTTTCAAAGACTTCATTACCACTGAAAATATAGGAATTCTTTCGAATCCTTCACAAGAACACTCGAGTCATGATCATACAATTTCAAGTTTTTATAAATTATTTATTGTTTCTTTTCCACTGAGCAGCTGCTTACTATAATACTAATAATTGGTAACGGCGGTGACAGTGATAAAGTTGATTATGATGAGGATGATGATAGTGATCGCAGCGATGGCCAGCCCATCCTGAAGAAATGAAATAATATTACACGCATTTTAAATGCAGGAGAGGAAACGTATCAAATTCCAAACAACGGCCAGCTTTTTGGCCTACCCTCTTCTGTTGCCGTTAGTAATGAGCTTTCGTTTCAGTTTACAATTTGTTCACTCGATAATTTGTTTTTTTTTTCTTTTTGATTGCAAATGATGCTTGTGGGGAGAATTGTTTGTGCTGTGCCAAATGCAGCAATGAAGTACAAATGAGTTTTAAAAAATAAGGTGCAAATGAGGAAAAAAGTGAGGTAAAAAAAACTGATGAGATATGAAAATGAAAATGAGGTGCAAATGAGGTAAAAAAATAGAAATGACAAAAATTTTTGGATCGTAGCATTATTTGTCCGCCTTCGCGCATCGCTGAGATTCGGACATTAAATTTTATCACTATGCTACAAGTCGTTTCCTAATCAGTAAAATATGAGATTATCATGATACTGGAACGGCAATGTTCGGAAAGGGTGGTGATACTCAACACACATCATGAAGACCCTAGGGCAATAAAGATCTTGCAAGTATTTCTCTTGGAAGAACCATTAGGCTGTTAATCCTTTCGGGAAGCAAAGCGTGCGGTAGAATTAGCACTCTCAAGTGTTAAATGTTAGTCAGAGCAACTGGAAAAATTGAAAGCTGTATAGCTGGAGAAGTAAATAATGAAGTAATAGATAACCTAGGTACTCATATACAAATGCATATCTTTGCCGTCCTGTCTACATTTGCCTTCTTAAACAACAATAATAATAATAATAATACTAATAACAACAACAACAACAACAACAATAATAACTACACTTACACGTATTGCTATTGCATATGTAATATGTGTTCTTTATATTATCGTTAT